TCAAATTTTTTATGCTAATATTTTGTCGCTTGCTTTAGTTCGTAAAAGAATTTAACGAGTATATATAGCTTTTTCTCTTGTTCAGGAACAGTAAACCCCTCAATTTATTCCACACATATTTCTTCTGTTAATTCATTATTTAAGAAATTTATTGTTAGAATTTCGACGTGACCCGAATTTTTGTTGAGTATTTGATTAGAAATACTATTGGAGGATTATTGAGAGTTGGTTGTAGACTTGAATATGTCTTGAAGAGTCCAAGATTGATTATGATCCTAATTTTTTTTTTTTTTTGCCAGTTTCTGACTCCTATTTCATCCCAAATATTCCATTATTAGTTTTACCTATTATAATAAGACTTCATTTTGTGTTAGACTCTTGTTTGTATTAATTCTCTAATATGTTAGGGGTTCTTGTATTGTAAATATGTGGTGTATTATATAAATTTATTTGATCGTTCAGAGAGTGATCTCGAGAATCTAGAGAGAGACTTATATGATAGAGGGATCATGTTGAGGTCTTTTGGGACCTAGATTCACATAACATACTTGTAACTCCTTACTGTTAATTATAGTGAATGCTCAACTTCTGCCTGTGGGTTTTCCCGGATTTGAGTTTCCACATTAAATCTTGCGTGCTTGTGTGATCATTTTCATCTTGCTCATATTTTCTTAACTTAATATTCATAAAAAGTGGTATAAGTTCTATAATCGGATTATTCCAAATTGGCTTGTTTCTCAACAAGTAGTATCAGAGCTCAGAGCTTTGACAGTTTTGGGAGAGCTAGTTTGGTCTTATATTAAGCGAGGTTTGATGAACGAAGTTTGATTGTTTCGAGATTACAAGTATGAAGTTTGATATTCAACTTTTAGATTGTAATAAGATTTTTTGTTATGACGAATTTTTTGTTTAGATGCTAGAGGAGAAGCAATATAAGGATCGACTATATGTTTTGGAAGGTTCGACGATCACTTTAGATGAAGCTACGACTTATAGGTTGATAAGCGACAACTCGATTGAGTTGGTTGCGATCATGTTGCTTGTGGTGATTCGAGTAGGTATTGTAGAACCTACCACTAGCTCAAGTGGAGCTAGTTTTTATCTTAATGAACATGTGCCTGATGGTGATTTGAGTAATAATGGTAATTCAAGTGGAGTTGATAGTGAACGAGATGATTTAAGTAGGTTTAGGGCCCAAAGTAATTGTGTTGGTAAGCAAAGCTTGAATTGAGTTCACAGTTGTTGAGTTTGCTCTAGTTGGACTTTGAGAAAGATGTGGAGTAATTTGGTGGAGAATTTTCTTGGAGAATTTTATTGAAAAATTAAGTTTTATTCCTTCCAGTGGAATTCGTATCAATGTGTAGGTTTGTTAGAATTTCGGTGTGACCCAAATTCTTATTGATTATTTGATTGGAAATACTATTGGAGGATCATTGGAAGTTGATTGTAGATTTGAAGATATCTTAAAGGAGTCCAAGATGGATTAGGATCCTAATTCTGTTTGTTTNNATTAGGATCCTAATTCTGTTTGTTTTTTTTTTTTTTTACTATTTTTTACTTCTATTTCATCCCAAATATATTCCATTAATAGTTTTACCTATTGTAATAGAACTTCACCTTATATTAGACTCTTGTTTATATTAATTCTCCTAATATGTTAGGGATTCTCGTATAATAAATAAATGGTGTATTACACATATTTATTTGATCAACTCAAAGAGTGATCCAATGGATCTATAGAGAGACTCTCAAGATAGAGAGATCAGGTTGAGAGTCTTGCAGGATCTAAATTCCAATAACATACTTGTAGTTCCTTACTATTGATCATATTAAATTCTCCACCTCTACCCGTAGTTTTTTCCGAATTTAGGTTTCCAAGTTAAATCTTGTGTTTTTGTGTGATCATTTTTATCTTACTCATATTTTCTTGGCTTTAATATTTATAATAAGTGATATAAGTTCTATTATTGAGTTATTGCAAATTGGCTTATTTCTCAACAATTATCTTAACATCTATATGATAGATCTCCAAATTATGCAATGTGGCGGTTGCAATAGTTCCAAAGTCTGAACAATTTTTTTTCAAATGATGCTTCATACTCTCTACATCTATCACTATGAATAGCCTTTAATCGTTCAACCTCATTCTTGTGCTGTTTAAATACTTCTCAGGGTTTGTCTTTACTTCTTAAAAAATAAGTATAATAGTATTTTGTACAATTATCTATGAGATTAATATGTGCTTTTTATCACTCCTAGTTTGCACAAATTTTAAACTATAGATATCACCATAAATTATTTCTGGAGGATTTATGTTCATTTCAACCGATGGAATTGTGTTTTGGCTAATTTAGCATTTACACAAGTTTCGTACTTATGATTTTTATCAAATGGAATAAGTAGACAATAAATTCAAACTTAAAATTTTAGTAAAGTACTAAAACTAACCTGTCTTGATCTATCATATCATAATTTAGAGGACTCAATCAAGTAAGCATAAGATTTATCTTATTAAAATCAAAATCAGGAAGTACAAACATTACATTCATTTTGAATAGCCCATTGGTTAAGTGTTCTGTTGAGTTGTGTGGAGTCTGATTATACTGGACACCCAGCCACAACTGGCGGGTCGCGCTGTATTTTGGGTATTTTCCGACGAGGGTATTTTGGGTATTTTCATTGTATTAGGGTTTTT